AACGCGAAAATCAGTAAGCAAACAATATGTTCTCTAACGGATTCTATTCCGCCTCGCTTGTTTTTCTTCCTCTCCCTTTTAGCCCATTGATTTTCATTTCCACCGGCAACCAATTTATCACATTTCCTTGGTAGTGAAACTACTGCAATGGAGAGCACACTTGCCTGGAAGCAAGACGGCCAGGTTAACACGTTGGCGACAAAGCGCATTTTCGCGCGTCTGCCACGCGAGGCCGCGCGCAGTATTTTCGAGACGTGCGTAATTATGCTGGGACCCACCTATACCAGAAATGTTGAATCGCAACGCAGAAACGGTTTAGGCTTTGCGAGTCTCAGTCTTTCTCGATGGCCCAAATCAAGCGTAAATCTTTCCGTATTTTCCAGGGAGGATTCCAGAGAAAGCTGGAAAAACTTGGTTTTCCCACTCAAGTATCCGTAGATGGGGTTGGTCCCAAATCTCTTTTCGTAAGAAGTTGTAACAGTACTCCAACCGACTGGAAGCATAAAACCAGCTGGTTCCATTCTATTCCATATCCATTCGGGAATAACAAGCTTTACTCTAGGAAATCACTTTCAAGTACCCCTTGAGTGGAGCAGTTTATTGAGGAAGATATGTACGGAAAACGACAACCATAAGTATTACTCCGCCATCGCTGAGTATATTACCGTATTAATTTGAAACCTGTGAAAAAGGGCTTTTTTTCTGGCACGCATTCTACTTCCATTTGTACATTCGTAGTGGCGTTTGAATGCGATGTGGCCTATACAATGACTTGCGGGGCCAGCCGATGTACAAGTCAGTGTTTTTATCCTCCCAGACAAGTCTGGTACCAATTAACCCCGGAGGGATGGAAGGCTTGGTTGGCCCGGGCGACTCACGACCCAGGATTTGATCCCCGGACCGCTCGCGTGGTAAGCGTGCCACTTGCCACTACACCACTTCCGCCCCCAAAAAATAAACATGCCATCTCGAACGACCATGGTGATCTGAAGGGCTTCAATTGTGAGGTGCCGGAAGTTACAAATGCCGAGCACCCCTCCACCTTTCCATGGTTAGTAGTTTTTTTCATTGTTACCACAAATAGAAAATGATTGAGTCCAATTACTAGCAGAAATACTGATGACCTCGCAACACCGGCATGTCAACGGGTTTGTTATCTTTGGGGCTGCATCAGTGAACTTCCGGGGACAGTGCAATCTAGACTCAATTGATGGCATAGTCTGCAGTTAGATCCGTAGAGTAATCCTCAAGAAGTAGTAAGGTTTTTATGCACAGTATCGTAGAACGTTGCCTCTTGAAATCCACAACAATTGCGCTAAACCCTTGTCTTGATCGCTGCGACCGTAGCTGCTGTTACCGAGTCGTAACAAACGCAGTACCTGAGCCTTATCATGCTTATCATGTGACGTGTTCCTAACGTATTCCCACTGCTGACCGCGCTGTGTCTCTCCTATATACACCGGTAGATCTCACAATAAAAGAAGGCTTTCAATTTTGGAGTTTCTCTCAATCACACTTGTAGTTTTTGAGTGACTTGACCAGAAATTTTATCGTGACTGTGCTCTTGAGCGTGGTTATAATAGCATGTCCAAATCCCCCATCACTTCAAATTTTAGGCGACAAGAGAGTCAGGTAAATTATTAGCAGTGATTTCCCACTCTGACGACTGATCAGATAAAAGCTATTTGAACTTCAAGCTCTCTTATGCAATCACAGCAATCACATTTGTTGTTACTTAAGGTCTCTGCTTCTACCATAAGATTGATAAGTAAAATACATACTCAGCCAACGTTGACACTCACGTCATTTTCAAGGGCCTAAACATGGCTTAAGGCTTCAGATTTGCTCACTATTTCACCGAACGCCTCTCTTCTGGTGTCATCCCAGGAACGCTCGGAAAATATTTAGAACATGAAAGAAAAGCTCATCCTAGGCTCCACCGCTAGTGTGGTTATGCTACACAATCAGTATGGTACATTAGCAGCGAATGGATTTAAGTCCTCAAGCAGATGTATTGTCACCCTTATCGTTCGTTGCATATACCTATGACCTGTCTATTAATCTGAATACAAACCCCCTAGTCAAAATTAAAATATACGCTGATGACATTAAAATATACGGAAGTTACAATGAGCAAAATTATGACTGTGTATACCAAGCCTTAACTCACTCCATTCGCAACATGATGAAGTGGGCTATGGATTATGGGAATACCTGGAAATTTTGCGAGAAACGTTGGTACTTCACTAAGGAAAGGCCAGACACACATCATATACAATTGACAATATTATATTCGCGAGTTCCTATGAGGTTCATGACCTGGCGTTGCTCGTAAATTCTGTTCCAATTTTTCGCATAATTGAAAAGGTTCAACACACATTTACCAGAATTTTGGTGTATCGATGTTATGCGAATCCTATATATTCCCAAGCTCACCCGATTACAAAAACCGCATGCTTCGCTTGAATCTTAAATCATTGTTACATATAAGAGTGTATGTGTGTGTTGAGTGAAGAGTGGAAGAGTGACGAGTGTAGTCAATGATGTGTATTCTGCTCTAAATTGTTGAAAGGTTGCCTGAAGGTGATGACACCGAGTGAGTCTTAAAGCAACAGTCCAGGCAGGGTTTCAACTACTTGGTCATTAGGCGGTCAAAACATGCCCCAGCCCAACTAAAGTTTATAGGAAATGTCTTTAAGTTCAAAACCTACCTCTAAAATGCGCTGGAAGGGGTCGAAAGTCCTCTTGGAGGGGGCGGATCACCCATAAAGAGGCGGATCGCCCAACATACGCTGTGCAGAGTCCGTGCTTGACTAGCGGTCGTTGCGGGACCGCCGCGCTGTATGAGGTCGATTCCATAAGAACGCAATTGAAGCGCTTCAATTTCGATTGCTGGCAAATAGTTATGTATTTGCAAGCATGCAGCTATTTGCCAGCAGTTGCAATTGGAGCGCATGTACTACGGGCAGGTTCGGACAACTCGTCCAACACACGTCTCCCTAAACGGCAGGGGGAGTCCCTGTCTAAGCCCCTGCCCGACGTTTTTTTCTACTTTTTCTTTCTCCATTGACCAACTTCTCACCTGCAACGTCATTATAGGTGGTCCTTACCCGCGAATTCGTTCCTGGATTGTTGCTTTAAATAAGACCGAGCAGAGGTAGCATCACCTCATTATCACAACAATGTCCTAGACTACAAAAATCATCAGGTTCAAGTTTGTTATGTTATCGCGGAGCGAGGTGGCTTCAGTTATTACCGGAGACTTGCAAATGGAAAAAAGAAGGACCTCAGAAGGAAAAGGTTCAGAAAGAAGTCAAGGAGCATTGACTTACTTGCCTTATTAGGCATCAACGATTTCGAATAATTGGTGTCTGAGAACTTCCCGCTTGTGGGTAAAGTACTGTTTGATTTGAGTTTATCGAATCAACGTTTCTGCTTTATAACTGATTTGGTTTCTGACGAATCATTGAAGAGCACTCACGATCGGAGCGCATAGAGAAATGGAATGAGTGTACGCGATTTAAACATGACCTCTCGCCGCTCATGCAACATTGCAAACTGTTTCCTCAATAAGCGAACGTGCATGTCCTTCATATCATAACTTCATGAGGATGGCTGAGCAACATCCACTCGCTACCAATGTACTACAATTAATGAGTGAAGCATCACTTCACCCTAGCAGGGAGACCGCAGGTGAAATTATCCTTCATGTTCTGGATTTTTCCCCATGGCTTCTGAGATAGCGTCAGAAACAATGGAGGGGATGGGCGATTGGGGGATAGTGAGCCATCCTAAAGCCTTAAGCCAGACACTAAGAGTTAAGGCCTTTGAAGACGAAGTATAAGTCGTAACGTCAACCAAATAAACATTCCACCTATCAATAGTGGCACAAGCAAAGACACAATAAAAGCTATTGTGTTTGTAAGTTACATAATCAGGGCTTCCAACTCGAACGAGTAGACCATGCGTGTAGGCAGGGAAAGAACCACAAGTGATGAATTTCCGTCACAGTATGGATGAATAACAGAAAAAATTCTCAATAGCGTTCTAGGGAATTATGCACACTAACATTTTCACTTCGCATATATGACACTATAATGAGACACTTTTGCTGAAGTCCTGAAGATAATGGGACTAAAGCATCTGCAACGAATACATTATAGCAAGATCGCCTTCGATGCCAACACTATTTTCGTAAAACCTCCTCCTCTTCCCAAAAGAGAAAAGGATATTTGGAAGATCGGAAGACTACCTCATTTATTGCATTTTCAAGAAATTCCTCTATATAATGTCCATACCTTCACCCATTTTGTCGAATAGAAATGATTAAAAGTCCCATGAAATGAAAAGGCATGAGAGTTTGAGAACTATCATAGTTAACAGCTCACTGTTCGCTGCGATGCCATTCAGGGAATCATAGGAAAATTACAAGTGCACCGCTAACTGTGGTGACATCATGGCCCAAGAAATCCACAACATTCAAAGGAGATGTTTTGTAATTCTAGAACAAGAGTATTGTGGATACAAAAGTGCCCTAACCTGCATCAGCTCCGATGGGTCGCTTATGCTCATCAGTTGGAAGCGGACTTCCATCAGGTCCAACCGCAGGGTAGATAAAGTTTCCTGCGTCATCCGTTGGCAGAACTTGCCCGTCAGGTCCAAGAGGACGGCCTTCCTCGTCTTTTTCGATGATGGTCCCTTCATCTGTGACAAAGTTTCCAGAAGTGTCAGTAGGCAGAGGTGATCCATCGGGCTTTGTCACTGGATGGATAACGTTTCCGCTTTCGTCCGTAGGCAGTTCTTTGCTTACGGCCTCTTCTCGTGGAACAGTGACATAATGCCCACTGCTGTCAGTAGGCAATGGTTCCCCATCTTTGTCCAATGGAACACCACTGCGATCAGTCGGTATGGGTTTCCCGTCTGCCCCAAGAGGGTGACCCGAATCGTCAGTTGGAAGA